TACCAATTGGAAACTCGGGCACTGCCCGAGGGCCCGGGGTCAGTAGGGGGCCCCATGAGATGCCCTTGGTACCTTTTTCATAGGCTTTTTTGAGTTTGGGCAAGGACACAGGGGCCCCATGATTCCCATTTGCCCGGGGGACCCATGAGTTGTCAGTGCGCCCCTGTGTGAAGGCAACTGACATCCTCCTTATCAACTGATTTATTTATTACAGGTACTTATATAGCGCCGTCAATTTACGCAGCGCTTTACATATATATTGTACATTCACATCAGTCCCTAACCCTCAGGGGGCGTACAATCTAAGGAAAACTGATGATGTCATTGGTTGTCAGGATGCCAGCGACTAAAAGGTTGTAATGGTGAACAATGAAAATCTGTATCTTTATATAACTAAATGTAGGCTTATTCCACACGCTGGCTTGCATACATGTTTTGGACAATTTGTAGACATTTTGCCAAGGCACCCCTGAAGAAACCTCAAGGCACCCCGGGGTGCCTGGGCACCCTGATTGAGAAAGGCTGCTTTAAATCTTGGTTAGATTTTGACTTGCTTCTACTTTAACCACTTGAGCTCCAGAGGATTTACCCCCCTTAAGGCCTCGTTTTGCTACTTGGCGCTGTTCTAATTCAACTGATAATTACGCGGTCATGCAATGCTGCACCCAAACAAAATTTACGTCCTTTTTTTCACACAAATAGAGCTTTCTTTTGGTGGTATTTGATCACCTGTGTGCTTTTTATTTTTCACGCTATAAAACAAAAAAATGCAAAAAATTTTGAAGAAAAACAAATTTTTTTTACTTTCAGCTATAAAAAATATATAGTAAACTCAAAGTTGGTTATAAATTTAGGCCAAAATGTATTCTGCTACGTTTTTGGTAGAAAAAAATCCCAATAAGTGTATATTGATTGCTTTGTGTGGAAGTTATAGCGTCTACAAACTATGGTATAAATACCGCAACTTACGCCATTTTTCTGCTATACAGCGCTGCACTAGTTTAACAGACAATTGCGCGGTCATGCAATATGGTACATAAATGAAATTTACATCCTTTTTTACAAATTGAGCTTTCTTTTGGTGGTATTTGATCGCCTGTGCGGTTTTATTTTTTGCGCTATAAAAAAAAAGGCTGACAATTTTGAGGAAAAAAAAACAATATTTTGTACTTTTTGCTATAAAACATGTCCAGTAAAAAAAATGCAAAAATCAAATTTGGTAATAAATTTCTGCCAAAATGCATTCTGCGACATGTCTTTGCTAAAAAAAAAACCCAATACGTGTAAATTAATTGGTTTACGTGAAAGTTATAGCGTTTACAAATGGCGGGAAAGATACTGGGATTTTTAGGGTTTTTTTTATACTAATAATGGCGGCGATCAGTGAATTATGGCGTCGATCAGGGACTTATGGCAGCGACCAGCAACTTATGGCGGGACTGCGGGACTGCGGCGGACATTCTGACATTGGGGGGTACTGACTTGGGGTCACTGACATCCCCAAAAACACTAATACAGTGATCAGTGCAAAAAGAAAAACACTGATACTGTACTAATGGCACTGAGGGAAGGGGTTAACTGTATTTTGCAGGGAAGGGTTATCTGAGTGAGGGGAGTGTTTTACTAGGGCGCGGGGGTCTGTGCTGCACAGGACACTGCTGATCGAGAGAGAGAAACTCTTCTGTCTCGATCAGCTCGTCCTCGAGCTGACAAGGAAGTGACAGACAGCACAGCTGCTGCAGCTGTGCTCTCTGTCACTGTTTACTGCCGATCGCCAGGAAATAGCCGCTAAGGACTGGCTGTCACCCGGCGACTGACATCTGCGGCGGTGATCGGCGGGACAGATAGGGCGGCGGTGCACCTCGCGCGCGCCCCCTATTTTTGTTTACAAAACACACGTTTTAAAATGTGGTTTTGCCTGCCAGTGCCGCCCTGCCGCCATATATCTACAGTGGCTGGCTGGGCGGCAAGTGGTTAAGTTGGTGACGTCTCTTGTTTATTGTGGTAATGAATAACAACATGCACCAATCATAAATAGAATAGACAGTTAATCACAAGAGCAAACCACAATTTGTAAATAGAGATGAACCATTCACAGCAATTTTGACTCAATTTGCAAATTTAACAATCAAGACAATCTAGGTGTTTTCTAGTTGACCCTAGTCCGCAGGCATATCAATTGGCATATTCTTAGTCAAATCCCAATTTGTCCAATCCAATTTTCTCATCTCTATATGTAAACAATTACAGGTCCACATTGTTAGGAAAAAAAAAGTCTATTTCCATGGCAAAGGAGCTCAAACATTACATTGCACAAACTAATCTTATACAAATCCATAGGCCAGCTTGCATCTGCTTTATTTGCTATAGATTGCTTATTCAAGAATTAAGCATTCACATTACGTATCCCCACTGGTTAGTAATTAACTTCATCAGCAGAATGATATTAATATGGATGGGGTTTGGCATGATGCAGAAGAGCATATAGCAGAATAAAGCAACCATGTTATAGGAGCCAATGCAAAGAGTATTCCGACTTAAAAAAAAAAAAAAAAGAAAAAAAATCACAGCGACATTGGACTTTAAAAGGCCCACGAGAAAAAGAAATAAGATGCTAAATAATTTATTTGGAGAAACAGTCAGCGAAGAGGAACAAATAATGTTTCACTATAAGAATCGGGACCTTTGCCTCTCCCCTTTTTCGCTCTGGTACCTGATGCCCTGGCCGATCGCATTAGTGAAATTTTCATTTGATGGCATTTTAATATTCTGGCTTGATGACTTTTTAGCAACATTTACTTTCAGAGGTCTCCAGTGCTCCCTCAGAGGAAATGAAACATGTCAAAACCCATTACAAAAATCAAAATTTAAATACCTCGGCCACGTTAGGGCTTACACACAATCCCATCAGCGCTTAAGCTGCAGCACACAGCTACTCATTCGCTTGCTCGGATGGTAATGAGTACATTTTATAAAGCATTCCGGGGTCATGAAACATACGCTACTGATCTATCTTAACCCATTGATTGCTTTGATGCACAGGGCTTGGAAAGGTTTATTGAAATGGAGTGCAACAAGAAAATTTAATTGAAATACATATTATTTTTTTGGTATTTTATTATTGATTTGTTACAACTGCAAAACCTAACAAACCAAGTTGGCTATCAGAGGGATAATATTTAGAATTTAAAATGAATGGGGTTGGCTACCCAAAATTGCCATTTTAGCTTTTGGTAGATGCTGAGGAGTTAAACCATTTAACAGTTTGTTCTATCTCCCAGGGGTGCTAGAGCTCCTAGGCCCATATACCTGATGCAGCTATTCATAGGTTGTAACAATCTCCCTGCTGGGTATTTATTCTTTTTTTTTTTTTGCAATGAGGCATGCAGAATGGGGTATGGGAACATTGAAAGGTGGCTGGGAAAGTATTTAGGATCTATACCAGAAACAGCTTACCACTGGTGACCCCAAGAGATATAAGAAGCCAGCTGATAGTCCAGCCCCTCAGACTACCCATATAAAAGAGTTTATTATACCCACAACAGTAAAATCAGACTGTATATTCAGTAAATCTTGCTTGTTATACTCACTATGGAACCTATTCATTTAAAAAGGCTGTTGGATACTGTCTTCTCTGATCCTCCTCTTCTTCCACTGTCCCAAGTCCATCTGCTGGTAGTACAGAGCACTAGGAGACACTCTGCACATACTCAGTCTGGTGAGTATTGCTAGAGATTTTTTTTGTTTGGGAGGATTCATGTAGTCGGCGCAGGGCCAATCAGCACTGTCCAGGCAGAGGGTTAGGAGTCATACAGCCTCATAGGACAGTCAGAGCAGAATGAAAACTCCTCCTACAAGGTTAACCAGTGCTCTGCTGGACATTGATAGAAGTCACAAGACTGCTATATACTGCTGATAAGAAAAGGGATTTAGCAGTTTCTATTTACAAAAATAATTGTGATTCCGTGTTCTGTGTACTGTGGGAGACCAGACATAGTGAACGCAGCGTCATGGGTTTAGTAAGACTTTAAAGTATGCTTGTACTGATAGAAATATAGGGGCTGTAATTCCTGCTTCCCTGGCTGAATATGCTAACTGCAGAGAAGAGCCCAGCTGCCCTGGGTTCAGTTCAGGAAAGATCAAAGAAGTTCAGATGCTGAACCCAAACTCCATTGAAATCAATGGGAACTGAATCTGTCAAATCAAAAATACCCATTTTCTGGGCTAATAGGTAAAGGGTTCTCAAAAATACTGTTATACTGTTCTGAGTGTCATAAAAAAGCCAGAAGGGAAATTTAATTTGCTGGCAATTTAAAACAATTTTCCCGTACAAATGTTAGTGTTTTATAAAATTAGTGCTCCCAGATTAATGGAATTTCTTAACCACTTCCAGACCGGACACTTTTACCCCCTTCCTGACCAGGGCAATTTTCAGCTTTCAGCGCTATCACACTTTGAATGACAATTGCGCGGTCATGCAATACTGTACCCATATGAATTTTTTACCATTTTTTTGAGACAGATAAAGCTTTATTTTGGTGGTATTTATTCACCGCTGGGATTTTAATTTTTTTTACTATGTAAATGAAAACGTCCAAACATTTTGAAAAAAAGTGTTTTTTTTTAAATAAAATTTTGCAAATAAATAATATTTCATCATAAATCTCGGCCAAAATTTATTCCGTTATTTTTTTAGTAAGAAAAAAAAAATCCAAATTAGTTTATAACCAAAAATTATAATTTTTAAACATTTTTTTTTACATTTTTATTTTATTTTTTTATATTATTATTATTTTTTTTTTTTACATACTGTCACCCTAGCAGTACAGTGTCACCATGGTGACACTGTACTACTTGTGGGGGGTGATGAAGATTTTTTTTTTTTTTTTACACTGATTGCTTTTACACCCATATAGGATGTAAAAGCAATCATTTCTCTTTCTCTCTGTCTGCATTCTTGCAGTCATTGAGAGAAGTACTGAGTGAGCTATGATTGGTCACAGCTTGTCACATGGTACAAGGCTGTTGTGAATAGCCTTGTACCATGTGACCTCTGTGATCATTCACAGATTTCACACGTAGTAAGCAACGATGTCACAAGTGACATCTTGCTTACTACTTTGCATGTGATCACTGATTCGCCAATCAGTGATCACATGATCGGGACCTCGTACAGAGGTCCCGTCCGACGATCGGTGTTTTACTGTGTCCGGAGGACACAGCGGGCACTGGATTGCGGTGGTGCGTGCTCCCAGGGAGCGCGCACAGCTAGAAAAGGCGGGTGCCGTTTATGAACAGGCAACCCGCCCCTGGAGTGCCACCGCCCGGCCGTTTATAAACAGCAGGCAGACGGCAAGTGGTTAATAGCCTTAATAGAAGGCTTCATGCACACGGGCCGTTTTAATAATTCTGGTAACGTTAGCTGTGTAAAGTCACATTTTTGCACTAGCATTTAGTAGCATTCTGCCGTGTTTTTTCGCATTTGCGGTTTTTAGCTTTTTTTGTCCAAAAAAATTTATATTTTTTGCTCAAAAAAAGTCCAAAATCACCAGTTTGCTACGGGTTACCGCATTTTACCGTGTTTTGCTGCGTTTTTCAGCGTTAGAGTGTTTTTACAGCTAAAAAAAACTCCTCTAGAAAAATGTCCCTGCCAAAAAAACGTTGATTACAATCTATGTGTGTATGGACACATAGGATAACATGCTGGAGGGTTTATTGGCTGTAGAAAAAAACGGCAAAAGCCAAAAACAGCCGCTGTAAAAACGTCCCGTGTGCATGAGGATAAAAAGTTATGCTACTTTTGCAGTTATTATTTTCAGTGCAGCCCTGTTATAAATTTTGGCAATGTAGACAGCATAATGGTGAACTCACAGTACAATTTATAGCAGCTTTGAGAAAATTGGTTGTCATCTGTGAGCTGGATGAAATGATAAGAGACCAGCTAAAAAAACAAACTCAGACTACATTAGAGAAAGATTCCTTTTGAACATTACTTAACCACTTCAAGTCCGGACACTTTCACCCCCTTCCTGTCCAGGTCAGTTTTCAGCTTTCAGCGCTATAACACTGTGAATGACAATTGCGCTGTCATGCAACAACTGTACCCATATGAATTTTTTAGCATTTTTTGAGACAGATAAAACTTTATTTTGATGGTATTTATTCACTGGGATTTTAATTTATTTTGCTATATAAATAAAAAAGTCCAACATTTTTTAAAAAAAAAGTGTTTTTCTTATAAAATTGTGCAAATAAATAATCCTTCTTCATAAATCTTGGCCAAATTGTATTCAGTTATCTTTTTACTTAAAAAAAATAACCCAATTAGTTTATAACCAAAAATTATACTTTTTCAAAAAATTTGTTTACATTTTTATTTTATTTTTTTTATATTATTATTATTATTTTGTTTTTAACACCATAGTTACACTGTACTACTTGTGGGGGGTGATGAAGATTTTATTTTTTTTACACTGATTGCTTTTACACCCATAAAGGCTGTAAAAGCAATCCTTCTCTCTGGCTGCATTCTTGCAGCCATTGAGAAATACTGTGAGAGCTGTGATTGGTCACATGGTATAAGGCTGTTTTGAATAGCCTTGTACCATGTGACCTCTGTGATCATTCACAGATTTCACAAGTAGTAAGCAATGATGTCAGGAAGTGACATCTTGCTTGCTACTGTTCATGTTATAACTTATTGGCCAATCAGTGATCACATGATCGGGACCTCACACAGAGGTCCAGTACAGTGATCAGTGTTCCCACCCAAAGTCATGTCCCCTATGTGTTTTGCCAACATAACCTTTTAATTAACTTACAATAGATTGTTCACATTTCACGTTGGTAGAGTAACTCTTCCTCTATAGTAACTCTTCTTTTTGTTATTATTCGATGTAGATAAACAATGGATTCCAAGCAGAAGCAGTGTGCAGGTCATAGAGTTCTTGATAAAGGAAGGGGGTGCAGGCTGTCCGACATCCACAGAAAGCTTCAGAATGTTTATGGAGTTGACACCATTTAAACATCTTCATCCATCTGTGTGACGTGCTCTTGTCAATGGTGTAATCTCTGTAAGCATTCTGTAGACTTCTGTGGATGTTGGACAGCCTGCACCCTACCTTCATCAAAAACTCAATGACAACGTGTTGCTTCTGCTTAGAATACATTATTTACCTGCAATGAAAAAGAAGAATTACTAAATAGGAAGAGTTACTCTGCCAACATGTGAAATTTGAAAGACCAATATACATTAACTATATCATTCTGCAACCATGTTTAGTTTAGGACCAAAGAAGCTCTTAATAACATGAGTGAAACATGTTGGGAGCATGGATTTGGGTGGGAGTAGGCAATGTGCTATCATTGCGATAAACCTTGGCTGGAGTTCAACATCTCCGGTGTGCAGCCCATTTGTTTGGATGATACTCTGAAACTGATTAGTTTTCTAAGAGATTCTATCGCTACTCATGACAATCAAAATAGAAACCATGAACCCATATGGGGTTTATTTACTAAAGCTGCAGAGTCCAAAATCAGACTCCCTTCTGCATAGAAACCAATCAGCTTCTAACCTCAGCTTGTTCACTGAAGCTTTGGCAATGAAACCTGGAAGCTGATTGGTTTGTATGCAGAAGGGGGTCTGATTTTGGACTCTCCAGCTTTAGTAAATAAACCCCATAGTGTCTAGACCCATAGGAAGACTAGATAGGCCTCCTATGTGGACCAAGGTTACATGATGTATTTAAATAAAGAGGACTGTTTTGTAATATATTTCCTTACTTTGTTGTTGTCTGTGTATTTCGGTAATGAAACGATAACTCTGTATTATGGGGAAATATGTGGTGTTTCATACCTCTGGCCTGTGGAGGTCACTAGTTCTGTTTTTTACATGTTTTATTCTATACTCTGTACAAGTTTGTCCCAGTTCCAATTCCTGTTATTATTATTATACAGGATTTATATAGCACCAACAGTTTGCCGCGCAGCGCTGTACAATATAAGGGAGACGGTACAATTACAATACATTTCAGTACAGAAGGAATAGGACGGGCCCGGCTCGTGGAGCTTACAATCTAAAGGAAGGGGGAGGGGATACAAAAGGTGATAGCTGCGGGGGATGATCTGGTGGAGGTGATTCAAGTACACTTCTTAGGTAGAGGTGGGGTAGGCTTCCCTGAAGAAGTGAGTTTTCAAAGATTGCCTAAAGGCAGACAGGGGTGGGGCTGACCGAACATGCTGTGGTAGGGAGTTCCAGAGGATGGGAGAGGCTCTGGAGAAGTCCTGGAGGCGAGCGTGGGAGGAGGTGATGAGGGAGCTAGAGAGGAAGATATCATGGGAACAGCGAAGTGGGCGATTTGGGCGGTATCTGTGGATGAGGTTGGTGATGTAGCTAGGGGCAGTGTTGTGGATGGCTTTGTAAGCTGTGGTTAGTATTTTGAATTTTATACGTTGGGTTAGTGGAAGCCAATGGAGGGATTGGCAGAGAGGGGCAGCAGTCGCTGATCGGTTGGTAAGGTGTATGAGTCTAGCAGCAGCATTCATAATAGAAGGGGGGATAGCCTGTGTAACGGTAGACCAGTGAGGAGGGAGTTGCAGTAATCGAGGCGGGATATAACCAAGGTGGATAAGTTGTTTTGTAGTGTCATTGAGAAAGGGGCAGATTTTGGAAATGTTCCAGAGGTTGAGGCAGCAGGATTTAGCCAGTGAGTGACCTGGCATATGTAAGTTTACTACCAAAAAGGGAGCTCTGGGAAGGGGCTGAGTTATGTAAGTGATATGGGATGGGGAAATTGTCCAATCCTGGATGAGATCCATCAGATATGGGAGATGGGATTAGATAGTTCTACCAATCTGTTATGATATATTCAGAAGCCTATGATAATAAATCACTCCATAGGTACTCTGTTTTTCCACACTACAGGACATAACATGAATGAATGAAGTATACCTGTAGCTTTAAATTAGGAAATCACAACAGAAAAACTTTGTATCTTCTGCTGGCAGCTGGACTCCCCTCTCACAAGCCAATACTGTTCTCTTTGTGCCCGAAAGGAAAAATGAATAAAAGAAACAAATACCTGCTGCCTGTAGGGAAATGAAAGGGAAAAAAAAAAAATCTATTCCAGCAGCTCTCATTCTCTATGCCAAATTGATTTGGAATTAAATAATAATACAAATATGTAGCAAGACTTTCATGCTGAAGTATGTTCTGATGTAATAACTCTCCAGTTCTGGAATCCACAATCATACACAGAGTTAACATGGATTCAACAGTTGTGTCTTGGTCTGCGTTTTACATGTTTTTTTATGATATAAATAGGTATAGAAGAAATGTAACTAAGTTCATATAGACCTGACATGAACAGTGTACCCCAAATCACATAACATATGCATTACTAACACCCAGGGGCAGACTGACAACTCATGGGGCCCCTGGGCAATAGGGGATCATGGGGCCCCTGTGTCCTTGCCCAAACTCAAAAAGGCCTATGAAAAAGGTACCAGGGGCATCTCATGGGGCCCCCTACTGAACCCGGGCCCTCGGGCAGTGCCCGAGTTTCCAAATGGTCAGTCCGCCCCTAGGTATAAGAGAGATGCACGGGCTCCCTGGAGCAATGGTGCTGGGTCTCAATTGCAACCCCTGTAGGTATGCTCCTGTGTGGACGTCCACACAGGGGCATACCTACAGGGGTTGCAATTGAGACTCAACCCCAATGCCCCAGGGGGGCCCGTGCATCTCCCCTATACACCTGTGTCCTCGCCCACACTCAAACCACACCCAAGAAAGCCTATGAAAGGTATTCATGGGGCCCCCTACTGACCCTGGGCCCTCGGGCATTGCCCAAGTGCCTGAATGGTCAGTCCGCCCCTGCTAACACCTATCACATACACACATATCCTGTAGTATAAAATGAATTCTCAGCTGAGATGGATGAACTGATCCTTCAATAGCAATAGCAATGGTAGACTGGGCTAATTTTTGGCTGTCCACAAATTAATTACCAATCTGCATTTTATTACATGTTTTTATTTATTTATTTATTTTTTTAAATCAAATTAAAAATATATATTTCTTTAGGTAAATATTAAATATTATATATGAATTTTAGGCTGTCTTCTTTTTTTTACCCATTTAATTTGTATTTGAAGTTCAGCAAAAAAGAAAATAAACAATTTATTTCTGTTCTAATCCTAACATGCAGTTCTATATTTTAAAAATACACTTTAACATCAGACACAGGGAATGTAGTAATATAGTAAAACAATATCAATGCCCCTGAGACCAGAAATATCTATAACATGTATTTGATGTACAAATATCTGATAAGTTTGAACACCTAATCCAAGGGTCATAAAGTTATTAAGGTGGTTGTAACTCTCAGACATGAAATATGAACAAAGTATATCGCTCTATAGTGTGTACTTGTCTTAATCCAGAGCACTAAGTGTCATTTCTGTCCACTGCCTAGTTCCTCTGCCATCTGCATGAGTCACTTCTGACAGGTTTTGCTGACACCAAAAGGTATACAAGTGATAGGGGAGGGAGCTCCAGCACACAGCCTGTGATTGACAGCCTCATCTCTATTCTTTTGTGCTGTGTGAAGGGGGATGTGTTCCTTCCCTCCAATTAGCTCTCACTAAGCACTGCAGAGTGTTGCTTCAGCTCCCCGCCCCCCTGCTGTCTGAAAGGTCAGGCAAGCTGTATAAATTCTGCAATTTGACCAGCTGTAGAGAAGATAGGGCTGCAGATAAACAGGTAGAACGTATATAGGATAATTTGTTTCTTCTCTGTGCATTACCTGAGGCCCGTCACTTCACTGGGTTTATAAGCATTTACAACCAATTTACGTTTTTAATTCAAAGGGCTACAAACCTGTGAGTAGTCTGTAGACATCCTAAATTCTCTCCAATCATCTCACATTTCAGAATTCAGAGATTGTTGACTTTGCTGTATTAATTCCTCCATGAACATTGTATGATCTATCTGAATAAACCATGAACTAATAGGTGGGGCTAATGATGACTTCCAATGCAGAGTTTAATAGGTGAGGGGTTAAGCTATTCCAATAGTCATGATAAAGCACGTTAGAGTCAGGAACCAAATACACCCAAGGGTCTAAGTGGATAACCCCACCAGAGATTTCAAATATTACCTTCACTACTTTGAACTAATATGTTTGAATACCCACACAAGACCACATATGTGTGATGGTTTTTTGTGTGTCACATTTCTCCAACATTGTGATGAATAATCTAAGGAAATGGATGTCATGTGCAACAGGGTAGGGCACCAAGGTGCAGCCACTTCAAAATTCAGTTCCTCAAGTTTTGTACTCATGGACGACATAATCTTAATATAAATTTTTTCATTAAAGTAGTGTTTAGACATTCTTCTGTCCAGGTTTGAACTCAAACTCAACCTTTCCAAAACTGAGCTTCTTGTATTCCCCCAGCCCGTGCCCCCCCCCCAACTTCTCCATCAAGATCAACAACACTACCATCAGTCCCACCCCTCACGCCAAGGTACTAGGTGTAATCCTAGACTCCCATCTGTCCTTTCAGCCCCAGGTCCAATCACTGACAAACTCATGTAGACTTCACCTCCGCAACATCTCCAAGATACGCCCGTT